TGGAGACTGAATGACTTCAGTGTCGCTCTGTGTCTGGCTTTACAGGAACCTTTTCATAACATCAACCTCTGCTTAGTGTCCTCAATAAAAACACCCAGAGTTGGAGAAATTAACTTGATAGAGGTGGATTTCCACATGCTGCTGAGAAAAGCAGATGTGGCACTGCAGCACAAGAGGCAGCTCCCACACCAAAGGCACGTGTGTGTGTCAGCATGTCCCGGAGTGTGTCAGTGTGTCCTCAAGTGTGACAGTGTGTTCTGGTGTCAGGCAGGTGCACCTGAAGCCCACACGAGGCTCCTTCACCCCTCAGGCTGTGCACACCCCACTGCCCTCAGCACAAGGGCTGTCCCCGTGCTGGGCAGTCCCTGGGGGTTGTGCCCCCCTGAGGCAGCAGCCCAGCACTGAGCAGGTCTGTCTGGTTTGGCGTCTCTCCTGCCCTGTGATGAATGAGAATCTATTCTCTTCTTGTTTGTGGTTTGATCTTAATTTCCTGTATGAAGTTCTCAAGAGGATGCCAAGATCAAATAATTAGACTATTCTGCGATAAAGAGTTAACATTGTTATTCAAATGTATTCAGAATTAATTTACCACCAAACAATTTACACTGCGCCCTCCTATCCTGCTGAAATTACCAGAACGTGTTATCTGACACACAAAGTATCTCATGACCTGAAATAACTTTATCAACCATTAAATGCTTAAGCAGTGGATGTGTGGCCACAGAAATGCCCACGGGAGTGCAGGAAAGCTACAAAGGCAATAGAGGGATTTAAAAACACCCTGGTGCCGTCCAGCTCTGGGCCACCCTGCCACCCTCTCCTCACTCTGATCACCAGGTACAAGCTGAGCAGAAAAGCCCTCAAGCTGCCTTTCCAAGGATTCCCACTTCAGCACCCACATCCCCCATGGCCACGCAGCTCCCAGCCCTTGGGCACTGCCTTTCCAGCCTGGAAAAGCCTGCTTTTGCCTTTATTTTTAAAAATACAACTTTGTTTGCAAAGTGTGGGAAGGTGGTTTCAAAATAAAATTCCTGACAGGCGTAATCAGCCTCAGAAAAACCAATCACACAGAGCAGGATAATTATCCACAGAATTTGTTTTCTATGTATTTATATAAAATAATCAATGATATTTTTCCCACACAGACTCCAATTTGATTGTATTTTCTGTGTTACTTGCAAATCATACAAACAATCAATGCCCTGACCCCTTCTTTATGCAAACAGAGCTTAGAAAGACACTACAAGAAATAAAATCCGATAAATTCCTCAGGCAGGGCTGTTTGTTTAAAAGCTTTGCTGGAGACTGATCCTGCTCACAGCGACTTCAGCAATACAAGTGTGGGACTGACAGACATGCCTGAGGTGGGATTATTGCCACAAATATCAGCAGAAATAGTAAAAAACCCGGCACAAAAGCACAGATCTGGAGGTGAAGGTGATTCCTTTTAAAATGTAGAAAGGAAAATAGCCCCACTCCCTGGCCCAGCACACTCCTCCTGCAGAAGGGGGAGGACAGCCCATGGCCGGGGTCGGGGTGACCCAGGGGCAGGGTGGGCTGGGACCCTGCCTGTCCCCTGCCCACACAGGGGTGGCAGAGGGGGTGGCATCAGCAGGAGCAGGGTGGCCAAGGGCAGTGTGGCTCTGAAGGTGCCTCCTCAGCAGCACCTGAGCACAGCCCCACCCACAGTCCCAAATCCCACAGTCCCAAATCCCACTGTCCCAAATCCCACTGTCCTGCCGGGGCTGGGGCTTTGCTCCTCACAATGTACTGGTCCCAGTCCCCCAGCTCTGATCTGCTCCGTGTGTCTCACTAACACATCATCCATCAAAATAATCACTCCCAGTAATTTCTGATGATGCTTCAGCAGAGCAGGTGGCTGGAATGGGTCTGCTGGAGCCGCCAGTCCTTCAGGCTCCACCTGCGCCACCCATTCCAGTCATCCCGCCCTGCTTTGTCAGGGACGGTGCCATCAGCTCCACAAAATGGCACCAGGCTCTCTGTGTGCGTTGAAGGGTGTTACTACTGCCTTTTAATCCGAGTGAAGGGTGAGATAAATGGGCTCACTACGGCACTAAATATGAGGGGCAGGATGTTGCACATCCTCAGCTGTCCCTGCAGCCCTTCAGGCCAGGGGAGCTCCCGGAGCTCAGCCGCAGGGAGGGCTCCCTCCCACACCCCCACAGTTATCCATCTCCCTTCCAGAGTAACTCCGAGCTGAATTGAGCACTTGGAGCAGCTCTGGATGGTGTTTTCTGATACGGCATTTTCAAATATTTAACAGATTGCGTAATAACCGAGCAGCTGTTGAATAAGCTTCGGATACAAACTCCCGCTTAAAAAGAAGCCATCCAGCACCGAGGCACAGATTTCCTTTGTAGGGGTACATGTATAGATTATGTTTAGATGTGTATATTAAATATTTATATTTTACTCATGAGAGAAAGAGTGCTTTTGGCTTTTCCTTCCCTTTCTTAGATATCTCTCCCTGTATTTATTTTAACAGTCAGCTTCACAGGGAAAAAAAAGAGCTTTGAGAAGTTACCTGCTTTCTCCCTGGTTTGATTTTCAGTGCTAAAACAATAGTTACTTAAGTGCTCTCCACGTCTTGGCATAACCTAATAATTAAAATAATTACTTGAAAGCCAGAGTAGCTTTGCACAAATTAATGCAGGGGAAGGAGCTGCGGTTTTCCAGTGGGCTGAAAAAGAGGTCAAAATGATGCCAGTTTTAGCTGAGAGAGAAGGTAAACACTGATCTCCCTGCAGCCCCGATTAAAGCCTTTTTCTGATCTTATACGTTTCTTATTTTACTGATCAAGGAGGTGTCTCGATGAGGGGCTGACTGTTGGGGGATTTCTCAGCAGGTGAAGCCAGGCTGTTCCTGCGGAAGGCACAGTGGTGCTGGCAGTGGCACAGTGCTACTCCTGCACCAGGCAGCCCTGCCTGCCTCCCTGCCTCCATCCGTGCCCGCCTGGCTCCGTCCCTGCCTCCCTGCCCGTCTGCATCCCTGCCTTCCTCCCTGCCCGCCTCCATCCCTCCCTGCCTGCCTGTCTCCCTGCCTGCCCACCTCCCTGCTTGCCTGCCTCCATCCCTGCCTGCCTTCCTGCCTGCCTGTCTCCCTGCCTGCCCACTCGCCTGCCCGGTGAAGGGGAGCAGAGCTGCAGCAGACCCAGGTGTTTTTGTGGAGGGCTGGCAGCACTCTCTGCACTGAAAGCTCCTCTGTCCTTTTGTGCAGTTGCTTTGAGCCTCGTCTAGAAAACCCATTTTCAGGACAACTGAGGCACTGAGACTTGAGACTAAACATCTCCACAGAGCCCCAGGGATACTCCTGGGCCTGAGTATCCCCCATGAGCCCTGTGGGTATTCCTGGGAGTCTCAGCACCGCCTGCCCTGGCAGCCTCAGCCCATTCCCCGTGAGCATCTGCCACAGCTGCCACGGCCCCTCGCCCTCCTCCCCGGAGCCTCAGCCTGGCAGCAGTCGGCTCTGGCCACCAGGAATCAGGTCTGGTGCTGCCAAGCTGAAAGCAGGAGGAGCTGCCAGCCCAGAGCTGCGACAGCCCCCTCGGCACAGGGCTCAGGGTGCCCGTGGGGATCCGTGCCCTGGGACCCGCTGGGAAGGGAAACACTCGGTGCTCCCACCGGGGACAGGCTGGGGACACACGAGGGGGGTCACACAGCAGGACACCTCCTCCCTGCTCCTGCTCCTGTGGTGGGGCTGGCAAAGCCCAGCGTACCCTGTCAGCAGCAGCAGAGCCTTCCTGGGAGCGGGTTTCTATGGCACAAAACATTTCCAGCTGTTCCAGGCGGAGGCTGAGCATGCCAAGCAGCTTGGCTCTATAGTGAAAGTTCATCAGCCACCAGGGCCCAGGCCCCAGAGGCAGGTCCATTAACCTCTTCCACCAGTATTTCTGGCACAATAATGTGCACAGGACCACATCTGCCTGGAGCACCCCGTTCACAGAAGTCGAGGGCAGAGCAGATGTTCACCCTGCAGGCATCAAGCCCTTGTCCGTGAGACGATCTGGGCCATGCAGTGGCTCCAAGCCATGCTGGAGGTGACAGTGTTTCACTTCAGAAAGCACCTGTCCCTCAGGACCAGCATTTTTCTCTTTCTGGCTTTCACATTGCTGCTGTGCAGTTGCACTGGGATAAGTGCAACTTATCCATTTTTTCTACCTTAAGACCCATTTTTTCTACCTTAAAATATTCACAAATCTATTTCGTTTTCACTGGCTTCTTTGGGTTAGAATTTGAACCCTGAAAAGGCAGGTAAACCCGTCCTTGTAATTTTACTGGGCACACAGCAAATCCCTGGGAATATGTACCGATGGCAGAGTGTATGGGATGTAACAGAAAATCAGCACCGTTCTTTACATGACATGCTGAAAACAAGTATCTCGTTTAATTAGAAAAAGAAAGATCACAGACTCGTTCCCAGGCTGTTATCTGTGCAATTACTTTATGTAACATTATTAAAAATTAATTTTCCCCAGAACCTCAGCAATTTAATGAAACATGCCTGGTCCTCAGCAGCAGCCGCGGTGTAACCAGCCCACCGGCATCCTCCAGGCAGCGCGGCTCGGTGCCGCGGGACCGACCCCGCGCTGTCTGTCCCTTGTTGTGGGCACATCCAGCCCCGGCTCAGATCAGCTCTGCACAGCACCCCTATTGCAGCGGGCTCAACACCCCTCCTCGCACCGGGTACCGCAGCCCTCCTCGCCGAGGCTCAGCATCCCCCCTCTGCAGGGGCAAAGCATTCCCCTTCTCCGGGGAATCAGCGACCCCCCTGTCCGGGGGCACCGCATCCCGCTCTCCTCCTCACGCGGTGCCCGGCACCCCCATCGCTCCGTGCCCCGGGCGGGCTCCCCGCTCCGTGCCCAGACACAGCCCCGGCCCCGGGACCCCCCGGCCCCGGGACCCCCCGGCCCTGCCCCGGACAGCGCGTCCCGCACCCCGGTGCCGCATCCCCGAAGTTGTGGCGCGGCCGCCGGCCCTTACCGATCCGGATGACATGCGGCATCCCGTGCGAGCTCTGTCCCCAGAAGCCGCCGACCAGGAGCGCTGCCCAGTATTCCCAGAGGACGCGGCGGAGCGCCGGCCAGAGATGGGGCATCGTTGGGTTGGGCGCGGGCCGGCGCGGCCCTACGGCCCCAGGGGCAGCGGGGACTCGGGCGGCGGCTGCTGCCCCGGGCTCAGGCGGAGCTCATGGCACATCTTAGAGCGGCCGCGCCGGCCCGTCCCGCGCCGAGCCCGCGGCTCCGGCCGTGCCCTCCCGCGCCGGGCCGAGCCGAGCCGGGCCGGTTCCGCTCCGGGCCGAGCCGCGCGGTGCCGGTGCCGGTGCCGGTGCCGGTCGGGCAGCACCTGCGGAGCCGGGGCTGCCGGTGCGCCCCAGGAGCGGCTCTGTCCCCTCCTACCGCTGATGCGCGGCTCGCGCAAAGCCCCGGAGTGGAGCGTGCACACACCGACACACTCACACCCCCTGACACACACCCCCCCGACACACTGACACACCACTGACACCCCGACACACAGCCCCGCACCGACACGCACCGGCACCCGCCCGCTCCCCCGGGGCGAGGGCAGCGCCGGCGGCGGGCACGGGGCGGGAGGCGGCGGGACCCTCGGAGGGGACCCTCTGCAGGGACCCTCGGAGGGGACCCTCGGCAGGGACCGCGGGGAGGGGGCGCGGAGGTTCCGGGGGTCCTGGCAGCCCAGGGGGTCCCGGTTCCCTTTGCCCCCTGTCCCGCAGATCGCGGGGTGCCCGGTGTCCCCCGAGCTCTCGGGGGTCCCTTATGACCCCGGGTGTCTCCGCGTCCCCGCCGCCGGGTGAGGCGGGGCAGCGAGGCTGGGGCCGGGGCCGGGGCCGGGGCCGGGGCTGGGGCCCCGGTGATGGGTGGGGCCGGGGCCGGGGCCGCTGGAGCGACGGTACCGGCGGGCACCCGGCCCGGGCTCAGCAGCGGGGAGTTTAATGACCTCTGTGACAGAGACAAAGGGCTGCCCATGCCACGAACCGGGAGCTGCTCCGTCAACGTGCTAGGCTAGGGCGAATTTCTTTTTTTCTCATTTAAATAATTTGATCTATTCCATCATTTCCAATCGCTCCCATTTGCCAGCTGTCTGCTAACTCCAGCCTGGAACAGCTGAAGAGCAAATCTTTAATTTTCTTACAAACATACTATCACTCCGTATCGGCTCATCTTTTTAATTTTCCTTGCCCGTCGCTCTCCCCGGCAGCAGGCTCGGCGTGCTCCGTGCTGGCACAGACACCAATCGCCGTCCTGTGCTCCACAAACCCATCGCAGAGCAGCCTCTGCGAGCCGGGTGTGGGGACTGGAGGAGGGGACACCGCAAATCATTATTGGTCTAAAACTCAAAGAGAAGTTCCCGGGGGTTGCCTCTGCCAGCGGGCAG